CAATCGACGACTCCGCAACCCTCATCACGTGGCCTTGATATGTTCGAGTGTTTAGTGTTGAGCGTCCGAGACTACGAGTGTGTTTGTTTTAATAAAACCGGGATGTTTTATTCACTCCACGGTCGTTCAGTCCACCAGCTAATTTTTACAAATTAACGCAAGTTGTATAATTTTTAGCTCCTGGTAACAGCGCTATGATGTTTTCTGTCTACGACTATTTCGTTTCGTTAAAAAAAACCGGTTCCCTGACTGCATTAACTTAACATGCTTGGATACGATAAATAGCCGAAAACGCACGATAATTTTTTGCCGGCATGGACTACGCCGGTTGTACAATGATGATACGAACAACAAAACGTTGACCTTGGCAACTTTCGTCCTAAAAATATGGGTTACTGTCCAGCGTATTGTTTCAATATTGACAGTCAAAATAGGTATTCTTCAATTATTATTTGCAAATGCTGTCTATGTAGGTTATGTTATGCAAATATTTTTATAAATTTTCATTTGAATATATTAGACTATTTTTTATGACGTAATTCAAGCCATGACCCTGAGTTTTGGCTTTGTTCTATGTAATAAGTGCTATAGTCAATCGAATAAGTGCTAACATGGAATAACCATTGAAAGGCCTCTAAAATTGCTGGTTTTTTTACTGTAGTTTGGTTGTTTGCCATCTCCATTAGATATACTTTCTTCCCTCAAAGTATTCCGCACTGCGATGCATAGCTAAATAGGTGTTTCCTCTGTAAGATACTGAGAATTAAGTATTTTTTGTCATTAGCCAGGTTCCAAGGTACATTAGAATTATATTTCACCATTTATATTTCACCTTTTTCTAATTTACTTTTTGATCTTCGTTGGAAAACCTGAGCTGGCAAAATTATTAGAACACAACTGTGTTGACTTTTTTTATAGTACCGTATTGAAATTACTTATTGTGTACTTTGTGTTCTTTCGATGATTTGAAAAGAAAACATGTATTTATGTTTAACCGTTGTTAACAGTTTTTTAATTAATTTAATTTTTTTAATTTAATTTTTTAATTTTTTAAATTTTTTAATTTTTTTTTTAAATTTAACAATTATTAACAGTTAGTTATAACTGGGTCAAAAATCTTACTAACATTATAAATGTGAAAGTTTGTGTGTTTGTTTGTTTGAAGTTCAATCACGCATAAACTACTGGACGGATCCGGCTGAAATTTGGCATGATGGTAGCTCACATTCCCAATTAACATATAGGCATATTCTTATCTCAAAAATCCTTTCGGGCTCCACCCCAGTGGCTCTGTAGTTTCCCATGTTAACCTTATGATGAGTATTCATATAAAGGGAATTAAAGAATTTAGTCAGCTGTTTCAAATAAAAAAAGTTGGTTCTATGTAAAAGCATTAAAAGTTATAAGATTTACCAACAGGGTGCAAAACTACATTTTTTTGCATTTATGAAAACAGCTAATTATAAGTAAGCAGCAACAACAAACTGTGGTATGCAATGAGAACTGTCAAGGTAGGATTGTTTACAGTTGTGTTTATGTTTTTAATTTCATGAATAATTTTTGATATTTTATGCACTTTTAATCATTTGTTTTTCTCTATTGTTCAGATGAAGTGGTGGAATATTATGGCTATGGTAGATGTGTAATACTATAGTACTGTAAATTTATAGAAGCAAATTTTATCAACATGTGTCCTCCCCCATTGCAAGTTCCAAATTTGAGTTCAATATAACTGCAATAAGCATTTTTTTACTTATATGCCAACCCCGTATACGAAGGACGGGTACTCTGCTAGTAATTAATATAGCAATTGAAAGTTCTATAGCAAATAAGTTGTCACAAAAGTAAGTATATTTCATATTTCGTCTATCGTATTACCTTTAATGCGGCCAATGACGATATATGACGATATAGCGATAGTTAGCAACCATAATCAATGGGAGTACAATAAATGTTATGGGCATAAACGTAAAAAATTGAGTCATTAGAAACCAAAGATCCACATTAATTGTAGGTAACATTTGTAAGTTTATTTGTTGTGAAAAATTAACTACAGCTTTACTATACTTCCACAGTCTACCACTGTAGGCCTACCGTTACTGTAGTTTTGTGAAGGTTCACTTTAGTTATCGAACACAAATGATTCTACATACTGTACTGTACAGTCTTCAGCACCTTCCAGTACTAATTCCTGTGTAACACTTATTTTTCTGTTTACTGTTTGGATCCTTCACAGTTCAAAGAGACTTATAACGAAATATCACACTCTTTACAATATCAACAAATTACTGGGCTGCGTATTCTTCATTAAATTTACCTTTACACGAACCCTCTTCTACAATACTTTCATTTTTTTATTTTATACCTACATGGCAGGACAATAAGAGCAAGTAAATTTGCATTTAGACAATTAGACTTCTAATAAATGTTTTTAAATTGTAGAAAATAATATACCTTAAACAAAAATAAATGAATATTAAACTAAAAGATAGTAACGGGTGACTAATCCTTGCTGAGTTTGGTTAATTACATTTAATTGTTAAAGAAATATACTACACAGACATGTTTTATTACAATACAAATATAATTCTATTAAATACCATAGAAATTTCATCGCAGAACTAATAACAACTTGAATAAGGTATGCAATTAAAAAAGAAATATTTAAGATCCTACTCCAGTTTTCTTAAACATTTATCATGCAAAATACGATTATTTTTATAGGTTAGGGGCATAATTTATCTCTCGGTACCGGTACCACACTAGACTTTTCGTTGATTAGTTGAAGCCGAAACCTGGTAAGTCCTATTGGAGCATAAATCTTTTACTGGAAAGATTATTATAATGAAATAATTAATTTAAATAATTATGTAACTAATTAGACCTGCCCATATTTTGTTTCAACTATAAAAAATAGTGTTTACAATTTGTACAATCTACCATTAAATACGGGTGAAACATTGAGTTGACGCCTGTGCACTCAAACGACACCAACTGGAAACACATTTATTGAAAATAATTGTTGTGCATTTGATAACAATATATCACTATTATTTAAACAAATTAAATGCTAAATTGATTCGTTTACGATAGCATACTTTTAATAAGCGGATTTAAAACAATTGCTTTATTTACACAATATTCGTCAATTAATAATCTGAGCCCTATCTATAATTACAGTGCCTTGTGATTCAGAACGCAACCCATATACATCACAGTTACGCAAACAGTATTTGAATAGTAAAGGGAGTTAATGTACAAATGTTGGTCAGTCGAACGCACGGGAATCGAGTAGTCAATTTTTTAAACAGTTTAATTCAGAACAGCTATTTACACATATAAAGACCAAAAACTATGTCATATAAGTCAATTCTCATATCTTCAACGATTAAGCGATAGTTTGCAGAACAATAAGTATTTTCAAACATGACTTAAAATTGTTACAACAAAACCTTTTACTTAGGTACACAAATTGAATCTCCAACAAAACTTGATTAGACGCAAATGTTTGATATACAGTTGAACATTTTACATTTTTTGATAAAACACATTCTTTGTAAGGAAAAAATTAAATTTCACTTGAATTAGGTTACAGCAGACATTCGCTAGTTGTGGGGAAAACTAAATATAATTTAACGTTACAATTTCAATTTAATTAAATTTGAAACTACCTGTTTGTTACAACAACCGGAAACAACTTCAAATATTTAGCGTTGGTTACTAGTACACTATTACAACTTAATAGTTCAGCTCAAATAAACCACGACAAATTCATTATCTTTTCATTTTTCAAATGATTTATTCTGGATTCTCTTACGGAGTAAACAAAAATTGTCATAAGCTATAAAAATAAGTTATTATTTGTTTAAGACGTTTGCCATTTGTATTAGTATTGTTATTGTCAAGGTTAATACTTAAACCATCTTTTAAGAATAAAAATAAACACGTTATTTTACTTTTGAAAATAAATAGTAAACAATACCAACACTAGCCCTGCATGCCTTCAAAGTCCCATATATACATGTATGTATGAATGCGTGTGTATTTAAGTGTGTGTACTTGAAAATACTAATAAAAAAATATTAATTAAAATATCAATTAACAAAACAAATAACCATTAACGTTGCTGGTGACGACGTGTGTTTACGCCTTCAATCTGAGAGACGCAACAGTTCTAGCATTTTGGATGTTCCGATCTGACTAGTAGCGTTTTGGAAATTCCGACCCGGCATATGATCACAAGTTCCAAAGTGAAAAGGACAGTCTATTTCATAAGTTTACTTTAAGAAATAAATTTGTACTTCTAGTTATGACTGTACTTTTGGATCTTACGATTTTGGAACTTCCGATCGGCAATATTTTCTTTGGATCTTTTGATTTTGGATCTTCCGACCCGCTAAATAACCTTTGGAAATTCCGATTTTGGAAGATCCGATCGGCAATATAAACGTTGGATCTTACGATTTTGGAACTTCCGATCGGCAATATATTCTTTGGATCTTCCGATTTTGGAACTTTTGAAATACTCCCCATATTTTGAGTAATTAAGGCGAAAAATTGAAATAAAAATAAATATGTCATTATGTTTTTATAAATTATAAACTTTGAAAAGTAATACTGACCTTGAAACAAATTATATATATGTAATATATAGTATTTCTGAGTAGGGAATTTAACCATAAACATTTTAAAATCACTTGCATTGCTCTACCTTAAATAGTTTTTTAATTACATTGGTTTAAGTAAAAGCTTACACTGTAATTTACGTTTCCCGCCATTTTCCAAGATGGCGGCTGTTGCCCAAGGGTACCAAAAAAGTACCCGGTGGTTTTAGGGTCTACTTACCCTAGATATCACATATCAACAATAAAAAAAACTTAATAGGACAAAACCAGGTTCGGGTCAATTCTGCTGGACTAGTGGGGTGACTTGACTCGGTGACTGATGGGATGATCTGATCAGTTTCAGTACAATCAGTTCAGTTTTCAGTTTCAGTTCAGTTCAGTTTGTCGTAACCGTAAACGTAACGTAACGTAGTACTAGTACTAGTAAATGATTAGCATGAATGGCATGTATTAAACCCTAGTTAGGCCTACTGGTGTGTTGTTTTTGCTTTTACCAAATTGGTTATGCATTTTGAGGAATTGGGTCGAAAAACGTCAATATTTAACGATTTCAGAGATGTCCAAACAACGAAAAGAAGGCGATAGACCTATCCCGGTTTATATGAGGTTTATTATTTCCGGCATGGCTGGGTAAGAATATCCATAACTAGGCCTAAGTTATTTGTTGTGTTTGGCTTTTGTGTTGAAGGCTACCTATTTTAGGGCCCGTTACTTTAAATATTGGTAATTATTTAAAATGTCTACACTGGGATATGATGTAATTTTTAGATTTCTACTTGCAGTTTTTTTAATAAAAAAAAAACTAAGTTAGCCTTATTATTTTATGATCACTGTGTTAGGCCTATTTCTTTTACAAAATGGGCTTACTTTACTTCCGTGTACGGGCACATAATCTTTTTTATTCTATTTTATTTGATAAACATAAGTTAGCTAGGCATACAAGTGAATGATAACAAACAGCCCTGGGTAAAAATTTAGGACCCAGACCTCTTGTATTGTTCTTGTTGTCTTGTTGTATTGTTGTATTGTTGTTGTCTTGTATTGTCCAGAGCTCTGTATTGTTCTGTTCTTCATCACTTTAAATTCTTACTACAACTCTTCTCAATTGTTTAAATAAATTAAAATAAAACATCTGTTGGTTAAAAACAAAACCTAACAAATAATTATATTTGATGTTGACCAATCTTAAATCTCTACTATAAAAAATAACTCGATTTCCAACAGGTACATCTTTTGTTAGAATTTGAGGCATATACACTTAACTTATAATTTTATTTTATGAACAGAATTAACCTTCATTCGATTTTTTCATCATAAGAAAGTTTGGTTATTTTAGTTAGGTTAGGTTATGACAGTAACTGTCGGACGCCTAATCCAAGTCCGTTCGCCAGACTGGTATCCTCTGCAAATAAGATATGACAGAGTTTAAGAATTTATTGGTTTTACAGCGTACCTACGGTAACGGACAAGTACATTGTGCTCCAGTTCTCTATTCTGATTAGGCATAAGTTACCTACGGTATATCTCAATGTAATTGAATGGGTAGACTTTCATAAGCAGAACTCCAAAATACCAAATGAAAAAATAATATTTTTGATAGGCCTAGGCCTATATATCAATTATTTCATTCAATTTATCAATTTTGGTTTGTTAGATTTAAGTTCTAAGGCGTAGCCTACTTATTAAGAGTTAAGACTTAAATCCTACTTATGATTGGGCTCACCCATAGCCTAGGTAACACCTTTGTTTTTTCTTGATAATTTTATGTAGCCTCTAAAAATTACAGATCAATGCATTTTTTTAAATGCATCTTCTTAAAATCTGTCATCCAAACATTTTCAAATCCAGACTGCATTGAATTAAGTTATAAATATCAATTAAATGTAAAATTAAGTTATGGATGAACTGCACTGAACCATAAGCTTCCTTATTCAAAGTCAGTAAGTTTTAATTACTCTTACAATAATTAGACTAGGCTGAAAGCAATATAGTAACTTACTTGCTTTAGTTGAATACTTATTACTAAATTTTAGAGTCTCCGCTACAATAGTCATACATCCGCTGGATGTTTTAAAGAACCGAATGCAGCTGAGTGGAGAAGGAGGAAGGAAGAGTGATCATTCTAACACGTTTCAAGCGTTTAGAAATATATTGTCCAATGAAGGACCTAAAGGTCTGTACCAAGGGTTGTCCGCAAACATATGTCGTCAAGCTACATACACGACTGTGAGAGTGGGAATGTATCAGAGTGGGGTGGAACTGTTAACTGGGTAAGTAGCCTAAGTTAAATCTATTATTTGCTGAAATGACTTCTACGTCAGTGCAATAAGTTAAATATATTGAATTATAACAGCTGTTTTTGTAACTCACTATAAGTAAAGCCTGGGTTAGGCCTAAACGATCCAAACCATCCACGGCAAGGTAGTACCATTGACTATTGGATACAGAAAATAATTTTGTAAACATGGTAAAATTGTTAAATGTATAAGCTAAAACATGGAATCCCGCCAATGCTTATTCACTGCTTTAATCACATGTCTTACATTTAGCTGTTTACTTAGTTTTGGTACCGTACTTTCCTGTTAAAGGGAACATCAATTATTATTGATTTTTACGATATATTTGTTTTTATTTACGATCTATATTCCTTCACATTTGTTTATTTTTATGATCCATACCGTTTTTGTTCTAATATTTGTGATTTGTACGGTATCTAATACTGGTATGAGACAAGTTTGGTATGCAGGCTTAAAGAGTTGAACTTTTGTGTGATATACAGCACACTAAAACAATAAAGAAGTCCTGGTGTCTAAAGCCTGACTGGTATCTTCTGAGTAGCCTACTGATAGGGGTGGCAACAATGATTGTCCCGGTATCACCTACGATGTACAGTCTTGCTACATCAAATTGGCACAGGATTTTATGGTACTCAATTATCTGCAGGAACTGTCAGATAACACTGAAGGTCGTATAGTTGAGGCTCTACTGTAATGAAAATTAAGTAAAATTTACAATAAAATTTTAGACCAATTTAATTATTATCTAGTTATGCAAAGAAATAATCCTTAGTTTTTAAAAACGTAGCCTACCTGTAGTAATTGTTCTGGGAAAAAGTGAAAAACATAAAATGAATAAAAGATGTTTGATTCTGTAGGGCAGGGTTTGGAACATTTACGTCCCAGATATTGTCAGGCCTGACATCAGGTGTGACGGCTGCTATGGTTGGTGCACCGTCTGACGTAAGATCAAATTTCGTCTAAACGCTTCTGTTGTAGAAGAGGTTATACTACTTTTGTAATAACAGCTTAGGCCTAACATGTTTTATATGTGCATCATGTTATGGTACCTACTAATATTTTTTATGAAGATTAGAGTGAAAGTTGTGAATAAGAAATTAGTCATGCCCTGACTAAAATATTTTGCTGGAAAAGTCCACTTCAGAACTAATAGACATCTTTCTTTATGTTTGTCCAAATGTAGCTTTTGTGATAAATTTATTTACTACTTAAGCGTGAACCATAAGGCCCCTTTTATACTCTGAGGCACGCCGATGTGGCCTGCGGCCCTGTAAGTGCATTGAGTTAAATTGGAGATTTTATACCCTGCGGCAGCCGCTGCATGTTGTTGCGGTTGGCTAGGTCCACCTAAGAGCCGCAGAAATTTAAGGGATCTAGGCGCATTGCGCTATATGGTAGTTTTTATACTCTTTGACATACTGCAGCGGCGTTCTCATGTGCTGTCAACTGATCAAAACAAACTCAGCCCAACACAGTACTGTCTTGCCTCCCTCCATTTCATTTTCTGTTGCCGGCGTGGTAGGTGCTTTGGTTTTTCTTTCCTGTGCATCAGTTTACAACTTATGTGTATATGTAAAATGTCAGAATCTCAACTGACTGATGTCAATATTGAACAGTTAATACAAAATCAAATCTAGACCCACTTTGTGGGATTGTTCATCATAGGACTACAAGCTCAGGGATGTCAAAGGAAGGTTTTTAAAAGCACCTTTGCGGATCTTGCCTGGTTGATGGAATGAACAGACCAGTGTCATTTCCGACGTCTCTTTGTCTTTAGTTTTAACAACATATAGGCCAAAACACCTGGATCAAGAAGCCCAGCTATCTCTCACTCTCTATAAATCAACACTAGTGGTGAATAGAAATTCCTAAGCTGGTAGCCCTTACACCCCCACCAATAATGGCTGTCGCACAAACATGCGACACCCGCCGTCGAATGCAGCGGTATGCAGCGCGCCACAGTGTATAAAAGCTAGGCCTTAGTGATTTTGATGTAGCCTATAACACCTTAGCATTTGCCTTGTGTGCATTACCTAGTTTTGGTATCAAAAGTTCTGTAGATTTTGTGTGCTGTTGTTATTATTACTAACATATTTTAATATCAAAAGTCTGCCAAAAGTCTTTTGGTTAATTCAGAAGAGAGACCACTTGACTATTTTCTAATTAACTACAAGATCGCACCACTCATCCAACACTCATCTCCATTCGTACTTGGCTTAAAATACCTACTTTGTATGGTCGCCATTTCAATGAAAATTATTATACAAAACATAAAATTTGAGCAAAGAATTCAGCGTAAACCAATGCTTCAAAGTAACTTTTTGACAAAAATGTTTCATTCACAATAAAAAAGTATCAATTAAATAAAAATATCACCATTCTTTTCAATGGTGAGTGAGGTAGCTTCCCAACTAAGATGTACAGAGTTGTTAATTTAACTTATTTTTGGAATAATTGTTATAGATTAAAAAGGAATCATGCTAGGCGTATTTGATTTATTGGCCTTTTTAAATAGGGTGTGTTGCTGACCAATAAGTTAGCGTCTTGCACTTCAGTGGGAGAGTGCATCTGATTCTTGCCATATCCAAAAAAAATTTGAATCTGGACGGTTTCCCTTAATGGCATTTGAGTTCTAACACAACAATTGTGACTGGTGTGTAGACAAAAACATATAGCTCTTGTCTACTTTTGTTGATGTCAATAGTGCTACAGTTACCAAAGTACTGACTGACTTAATTTTTAGTTGGTTGTAAGTTGTGATCCTCACTCTCTGAATGATTATAGGTAGCCTTGGTCCGCATGATGAGTGACGGTCGTCTGCCTGAAGACCAGCGTCGTAACTACAGACACGTCGGTAACGCAATCACTCGTATTGTCCGTGAAGAGGGTTTCTTTACTCTGTGGAGAGGTCTTCTCCCAGCGACTGTGAGAGCGATCCTCAGCTCAATAACACAACTAGTCACATACTCTAGGACTAAACACTATCTCATCAGTAATGGTGGGTATAAATTGTCGTAGGAATTTGTATCTAAATAGTATTATAAAGCTAGATAGTATTAAAGATATAGTATATTCTAGTGGCTTATAGGAACATTGTTACCGTATAGGCCACCGGCCACTATACAGTACCTGCTTCACAGAAAGAATGCAAAACGCTGGTGTTTGTGCAACAACAAACTACAGTATTTGCGTCCGTCGCGCGTGAGCCGCAAGGACTGAGGAAGGACGAAACTAATACAGTAGAATTAATTAACTACACTACGTGTAATAAATAGTTTACTTTTAACGCTCCATACCAGTAAATTCAAAACAGAATAGAAGGCCTGCAAATGATACAGAATAGCATAAATTGTTTTAGTTCATCACACTCAATTCATACTATATATCTCTTCCCCCCCCAATAACCTTTTAAAACCAACCCAAAAATCCCCCCCAAAAAAATATTTTTATGACACACTCTGCATCATTCCACCATAGGAGCGGGCACCCCTGCCGTGAATCAGTGTTGTATTAGTGCTGGGAAACTTACATTTTTAAAATCATCGTAACAATAGCTTACAAAAATGGTTTCCACTCATTGACGGCGCTTCAAGGACATTTGTGTAAAGTGCAAAGTAAAAAATCACAACTGCAATGGGTGATTGTGGATGTTGCTGCGATCTTAATCTTGGAAGATCTTTCTGATTTCGCTGTGATCGTAACAGAGGTTTAACTTACAGATGTAGCTAAACTCGCTTATCCAATATGTCACTTTTGTTTTTGGACTTACTTACATTTCGACAACGATATCTGTACTTAGGAAGTAAAACTACAAACGTCCAAAACCCCAGATTTGTGCATTTTTTGTCACATTTCCTCCGAATGTTTGCTAGATAAATGTACCAATTATCGTTTAGAGATTACGCAATCTTTTAAATAATAAACCTTTCTTTGGATAAAGGTGGTTTCTTCAAACTGTCATTAATATGTTAACATTAAAAGTTGCTTACAAATAATGCTATTAATGGGAAATAACTTTTATTAAAAAAAAAAAAAAAAAATTAAAACCAATGGAGATTAACAACTTTGGTACTGCACCACATCAAGTGAAAGATTTTTTGAGCAAACCATAGTGAGTTTTTAAAGCTTTACGTTGTTAGTGTTACATATTACTTGTTTTGTGGCCTGTGTATTTATTTATTTATATATTTGCCAACGGATTAACACCTATTTGGGGAATTTCACTATTTTTCCCGCCGTCACGGGATCGAGAACATTAATTTGAACCCTCTCCTGTCGTTCTACGCCTTCCCAGTCGCCCACAATTTTAACGCAAAGAATCGTCTTGCGTAATTAATACATAGATAGTATAGCCTGTCTCAAGTTATACCAAGACAAACTTCCTTAACTGTAAAGCGGTGTTTACACTGCCGTATTACCACGTCCGTAACAGGCATGTTAGCCACGCCAATGGACAGCCGTACGCAAATGCCGTGGCGCCACGGTACCGTCCCACGGCTACAAGCAGCTGTATAGTGTAAACAGTTTTCTGGTAGAAGCGTTCATTAAAGGCGTACGTTCATTTTTATTTACGGGTGGGTTATGGATTGTGCCAAAAGATTAACTATTGAAGGTTGTGCTACAATGAGTGTTATTTTAGCTGAATAAATAGCACGGCATTTCAGTGTTATTAGAAGAAAGAAACCAGGCTGTTAGCTTTCCATATTTATATCAAATAAACAAGGCTCACTTTGATACAGTTCAAGCATTTGAATTGTTTGATCTTCCGTTAATTTTAAATATTGCTATGTTTTCACCGATTCAATTGATTCGACTTGTGTCAATGTTATAAATAATTTTGTTTTCTTTCGCCATGGTACTTAAAAACTAAGACGACAAACACTGACTTTAAAGAACAATAGTAATTAAAACTCGTAGTACACACAACGACGAGACGGAAGACTCCTTGATTTACCACGTCTAGCCACGCCTGCAACAGGCATAGCAACCAAACACGGTTTGGTTAGTTCCAAAGGGCGTGGGGAACAGGCGTATTGGGTTGCCACGTCTGTTGCTCCCACGTCTCTACTGTTTACACGAGGCGTGGCCACGCTTCTCAAGAAAGTGAGAAAATTTCTCACCTACATGCCTGACTTTAGCCGTGGCCCCACGACAGTGTAAACACCACTTACGAGTAGAAGAGAACAATGGCAGGGCATGCCAAGGGTTAGTTAGGCAGCTTGCCTCAACAAAACTTGAGACAGTATATTAGACATGGCCAGATTTTCAGTATATACCTAGAACATAGCCATTGTTTCTAGACGAAAAAGGGTTTCTATTACTTTTACAATACAGTAATGTGATTTCGAGGAATGATGTGCCATTTGGAAATCAATGGCCTTTTCTTACAAACAAAGATGCAGAGCTTGTAATGTTGTTATTTTCTGAAAACATTGATGAGTTTAGCTTATTTATTGAGTTACCGGTATCATCGCTTGTATGGCTGTTGGTCAAAGTTTTGTATGATATTCAATTTATTGACCAGTGTCACTATAGGAAAGTATTTAAATATGGAAGATGGTAATTTTATATGCTCCATCTCTCTGCTAAAATAGGCTGGCTATGGTAAAAGGGATTTTTGTATCACTGTGAAATCAGCAAACAAGAGATTAATTATAATTTTTACAGGTATTATGAACGATGGACCCTTGTGCCACTTTGGCTGTAGTTTGGTGGCTGGATTGACCTATACCATTTGCTCAAACCCAGTGGATGTAGCCAAAACAAGGTAAAACAATCTTTTTAGTCTGATTCTATGATAGGTTGCATAAATTTACATTCTATTTAAAAGTTGATAAAAAAATTTGAACTTTACAAATACCCAGACACATTTGAAAAACAGTAGATGTTATGCATCTACAAAATCTTCTAAAATTAAAATTATTTTTTGTTCATACTGAAAGAGGACTAGTATTCCTACCCTGTACTTAAAACTAGAGTATTGATTGATCATTGATAAGGGAAAATATTAAATAGGATATTGCTGTTTCTGTGAATTAGTTTTTTTAACAAAACAATTTCGTCTTTGTATTATAAATCGAGGAATTTTTGATGATTTGTAAATTAACAAGAATCCTAATTCAAAATTTTTCTCAAGCCATGATAAGAGCATGTGTAAGCATGTCTAAACCTTTAATTTTCTATGCTTCAACTGTGTGGTTTTTCATATTACAGTTGACGAGCTATAACTATTATGTATCTGGGTATCCTCTGTTTAACCAGTATTCATTTTCACACGCCTTTTTACAGATCTCTAAAAGAAGTAAATAAATGTATTTAGTGTGATTCATTCACTTCCGAAGTTAATTATTGAACAGAGATCCACTGGTTATTAATGCAACAAAGAAATGAGTTCTAGTAAAATTAACTTTTCATAGGATCCAGACAATGTTCTCCGTGGATGGTAAACCGCAGTACTCGGGCATCTTTGACGTGTGGACCAAAACTGTGCGCACTGAAGGCGTCAAAGGCTTGTGGAAGGGATTCTTACCATACTACTTGAGAATGGGACCCCAGACCACCTTACTATTAGTATTTACAGAACAAATAACCTACATTTACTCTGTTTACATTCTGAAAAATAAGGAATCCTATGGATTGTAATTCAAGGTTTCAATACCTGCATAACTGATAGTTCGTATGGTGTAGTGATGCCAAAGTAAAAACTTATTTATTGAGAGATTTTTACTGTGTGAAAATACAGTTTATCTATAGTTTTTTAGTAAAATCAAGTGTCCTTTGTGATAAATTTTAGAACTTGATCAAAGTTTTTCATAAGTAGGCCTATAACTATTTTTAATATACTAATAGACTTATTTTTTTGAATATTGATGTTGATATTTTAGCTGTGATATTGAAAAAAATTGACTAAAACCTATTTACAACTGTACCTACCTTGTTTATTATTTACGTTCCATCAACACCTTTCTTATAACAACAAAGAAACTTTCTTTTTTGTACAGTTGAATAGTGAAATAATATAACCTGACATTGTCACAGTTTGTTTTTAAAGAGTTAATTATTTCAAAATACAGATTGGTGTTTTTGTAAAAATTTCAACTATAACTAGACAATAGCTGTTGAGCTTAGCTTATTTGATTAATGTAGGCTACCAGACTGAAAAGAAGTGCCAATTCTAACACAACATGGAAGGTCAACTGTCATCAATGTAATTTATTGTTTTATTTATAAACAAAGAAAAGGATCAATCAAATTTTCTTCAAATGGTTCTACGGTGAGTGTACCAAATAGTATTTTTAACACATTAGATTATTTGCTGCATTTAAAATCACCTTAGGCTTAGTGTATTTGTATTAATAATGTAACTGAAGTTTGTTTGTATTTGTTGTAAATAAAAGTTACATGGAACATTTGATTTTATTGACCAACCCAAATTTCAAAATTAGTCTTTTTACTAGCCTGTACCAGCGGCTTCGCCTGCAATGGTATACCCATAAATATTATAGGCCTATAGGATAAGAAATAAACAGAGTATTACAATCATTACAATAATTATCCATATAGTGGCTTCGCCAACGATAAAAAAATAATATATTATCATTATTTATTGCGTCACGGGCAGTTTAAAAAATCATTTTACGATAAAAGATTCTACAGCGATTTAATTACAGTTAAAAATTAAATTAAAACCATTTGTTTATTTTTGACAAAACAATCTTACAATATTAAATCTTGAAACTGAAAATGCCGAAACTGCGCATCCAAGTATAGTTCAGCAGCTGCGCATTATTCAGCTTATCCAAGTATAGTTCTTTACAATACAATACAATACAATACAATATTCTTTATTGTTAATTCGTCAAGAATTACAATAGTGTCAATACAATAGTGAATTGTACATGTTAATTTTCATAAAATTCCTTTATTGAGTAGAAGGGTCTTGCAATTAGCCACTTCTTCAGCTCCTGGTGTAGCTTGTTGCCAGTCATGTCTCTCAGGTAGTCAGGTAGATGGTTCCTCAGCTTGCAGCCGGTGTAGGAAGGTTTTTTCTCCCAAAGAGTTGTTCGGTGAACTGGTAGTGCAAATTTGGAGCCATGACGGGTGTTGTAGTGGTGCAGGTCTTGGTTTCTTGGGGGGTTTATTTCATTCACATACTTAATGGTTTCAAGTATGTAGAGAGACACCACTGTGAGGATTCCTAGGTTTACGAATGCTAGTCTGCAAGTCTGTGGTGGTACAAGGTTGGCGAGGGCTCTTATGGCTTTCTTTTGAAGGACAAGAATTCGATTCATATTTTTTGTTGAAGTTCCTCCCCACACTGTCAAGCCATATCTAAGATGCGACTCTACCAGTGCGAAGTAAGCTGTTTTGGCCACAGAGAGTCCGCCTATGTAGTTTATCCTTCTGACGACATGTATTCCAGTACTGATTTTTTTGCTTAGGTGGTTGATGTGCTCTTTCCATGTTAGTTTGTTATCAAGGATAACACCGAGAAATTTTGTGTAGTTTTCTATTGTTACATCCTCTAATTGAGGGACTATGTCTTTTTTCTTACTGAAATTCAGAGTTGTAGTTTTTGTGGGGTTTAATGCTAAGTCATTGTTCTTTGAGTAGAGGATAGCTTTATTTAAGATCGATTTTGAATTAAGGTAAAGGCTTTGGGCTGTGTTGTCCTTGATCAAAATGGCTGTGTCATCTGCATACATGATTGCAACAGCATTTTCACTCTCAATTTGTTTGGGGAAGTCATTAGTCAATAAGATGAATAGAATCGGGCCTAATACAGAGCCTTGTGGAACTCCTCTTGTCAGCTTGCTTTTTGAAGATTTGAAACTTTCTGTGACTTCTTTTGATGAGTTTTTCAGTTCCACGACTTGTGAACGTCCCTTTAGGTAGCTTTTGAACCATTCTAGCGCAGAGTTTCTTATACCGAGTCTTTCAAGTTTCTTGCATATCAGGTCGTGGCCCAGGCAGTCAAAAGCCTTACTGTAATCAAGGAAGATGGCGGAAATGTATTGTTCGTTTTCTATCTGGTCTAGGACGTACTCAATTAGTGCTGTTATAGCTGAGGATGTAGATTTATTCTTCCGAAAGCCATGTTGGTTGTCAGTTAAGAGTTTGTTATGATTAAGATGTGCCATTAATCTAGCCAGAGCAATTTTTTCTATGATTTTAGAGAAACTGGAGATGAGAGAAATGGGCCTGTAGTTTTGAGCATTTTCAGTTGGTCCTTTTTTATGTTTGGGGTATATTTTACTGACTTTTATGGCGGATGGGAATTTGCCTTCTTTAAATGGTTTATTTATAAGATAAACCAGAGGAGAGATGAGTTCTTGAGAGCAGTGCTTTATCATCTTAGAGGAAAACTCATCTATTCCACTTGATGTTTTGGCTTTTAGGGAGTTTATTATCGTTTTAACTTCTTTATAGGATGTTGAAGTTAGGGTAAGGTGTATTGGGCAGACTGGTTCCTCTCCACTCAGCACTGTTTCAGGGTCTATAACGATTGCTCTGTTTTGGTCAAGGGTATTTTCTGCTATATTTGAGAAGAATGTGTTGAAGTGTTCGGCCATTTCTTTTGTGTTGTTTGTGAGTTTGCCATTTATTTCTAATTCTGCAAGGGTTTTCTCTTCACATTTTCCTTTCCTTTCCTTGTTTATAACTTGCCATAGTGCTTTTGGTTTGTTGTCAGCTTGTTCTATGAAAACTAGCTGTTGAGGACATTTTTAGGTTTCTTAGTTTCATGTCGTATATCCTTTTTCTATTAATCATTTCTAATTTGTCTTCATTTCTGTTCGTTAACTCAAACTTTTGCAGAGCTTTCAAAAAGTTCTCTTTAAGGTATTTTGCTTCAGGATCGTAGTACTTCATATGTTTTTTGTTTTTAATAGTTTTAGTTTTCTTTAATGGGCATGTATAATCCAGTGCTGTTTGAAGAATATTATGAAATTTGTTGTAGGAGGTTTCAAGATTGGGTGAAGAGTAAACATGTTCCCAATTTTGTAGATGGAGGTGGGCCTTCAGATTGTTTAGGTTTGTGTTATTTAGGCTTCTTTTCATTACAAATCTTTGGGAAGTGTCTTCTTGGTGTGTTTTCAGCAGGCACAGCTGCGCAGTGTGGTCAGATAGACCAGTATGCACAACTTGTCCAGTAATATACGCACATGGTATGTTTGAGCATATACAGTCTATTGAAGTGGCTGTGTCATGGGTTATTCTGGTGGCCTCTAGAGGAAATCTCCAGATGTTTTGTGTGGTTAACTCTTCTTCCAGCATGGTGTTTTTGGAATCTTGGGTGAGCCTGTCGATATTTATGTCACCGATAAGTATTAGGTTTTTCTTGTGTACTTCTTGTAGTTCTAGCGTGTCTGATAGGAGGTCAAGGGCAATTCTTGCATTTTCGATTGGTGGTCTATAGATTCCCAGAATGTAGATATCCTTTTTCTTTGTTGTCTGCATGCGAATCATTGCTGCTTCGAAAATTAACTCCTGGCATGTGTTTGATATGTTAATAGCTGATACTGTATCAGCAAGGGATTCCTTGGAATATATTGCAACACCTCCAAGTTTATGTTCTTCTCTACTAAAGTGGGTAATTAAAGAGTAGCCGGGAATTTTTGTAGCTTCTAGCTCTGTTTTTTTTCAGTCCGTGTTCAGTCAAGACTAGAATGCTTGGTTTTGTGTCATTGAGAATATGGTGAAGTCTGTTCGTCTTTGTAGCAAGTCCTCTAATATTTTGGTGCATTATTGCTACACAAGAATTATTTGGAGATTTGCAGATTTTTCTTTTGCTTTTTTCAGGCTGTTTGTTTCTAAAAAAGGGGTTATAGTATGGGGAACTGTAGAGTGATTAGATTGTTGACTTGAATTGGGTTCTTGCAGCTGCTCATGTTTCTGTTCTCCTTGAGAAGAGAGGCAGTTCATCTCGGTCATGTTTAGTCGCTTGGTGTGTGACAGAATATTCTTTTTATATAGGTCTATATTTTTCCAAAAGAAGTCTTCAATGGTCTCTCCCGGCTTAAGAAGCTTGGCGGTGATCGGGGGTTTCCCTGTGTTCTTTGGTTTAGTTGATTTGTTTGGGGGAGATATAGTGCCCTTGAAAGTAGAGCAAACTCCTATTGGAATTTTGATGGCCTTGGGTTTTTTAATATTTTGATTTTGTGTTTGTTGTGGTTGACTTTGGTGTTCTGGTGCTTCTTTCCTCAACTTGCTTTTTGCTATTTGCAAGGAAACACTGAAATGGGTTTTCTTAGTAGTTGCCAATTTGTTTTTATTATATGAAACTCGTCTTGGTGTGTTAATTGGCTTGCAAGGAGTCTCCTTTTTCTCAGTTATTAGTTGCTGGGAATCTTCTACTGTTATTTTATCTTCTAATTTCTTCATTTTTGACTCCATATTATTCTGTTTTTCTTTTAGGGCCTTTAGTTCAAGCCGATAGCTGTATCGGCTCTACTAATACAGGTCAGGAAACTTTTCTACCAGAACAACACATTCAAGCAGGCTCATCTTTTTCCATTTTACTGCGCAGCAGTGTATACACTCTCTGTCCATTTGATATATTTTTCATAATTTGTGTTGTCTATAGTCTATTGTTGCATGGTATTCCATTGCATAGTTTCCAAACACACACCAAGAATCGGAAACATCTCTGTTGAATGCTTCTCGCCAATTATTAAATTTAAACATAACTCTAAATAGTCCTACTTTGACAGTTCTCATTGTATATTACAACTTTTTGTTGCTGCTGCTAGTTCAAATTAGCTGTTGTCATAAATGGAAAAAAATAATAGTGCTGCACCCTGTTGTTAGACCTTATAACTTTTTAATGCTATTTAAAATATCATAGAGCCAACTTGTCTAGTTAAAATAGCTGTTAACATCCTTTAAATCTTTTTAATATGAATACTCATAAGGTTAACATGGGAAATTCCAGAGCCACAGGGGAGGAGCCTGAAAGGATTTTTGGGATAAGAGATAAGGATAGGCTAATATGTTAACCGGGAGGGAATATGAACTATCATAATGCCAAATTTCAGCCAAATCCGACTAGTAGATAATGCGTGATTGAACTTCAAACAAACAAACTTTCACATTTATAATACCAGCAAGACAATCACACAACTAATTTGATAAAAACAAACATACTTTAAAATTGTATTTAGCCATAGCCCCTCTAATACAAGGCATTGGCTTCATTATGGTCTTATTGTCACAGTTATAAGTGTAAACACCACTTACGAGTAGAAGAGAACAATGGCAGGGCATGCCAAGGGTTAGTTAGGCAGCTTGCCTCAACAAAACTTGAGACAGCCCCATAGCCCCTCTAATACAAGGCATTGGCTTCATTATGGTCTTATTGTCACAGTTATAAGTGTAAACATGAACATTGTAGCAGCTCCATGAATTAG